AAAAAAAGAAGAAAGAGAACACAACGTTTTGGCCGTGGAGCCTTCTTCAGGTGTCATAATAATAATAATAATAATAATAATAATAATAATAACAATAATAATAATAATTTTTATTATTATTATTATTATTATTATTATGATTATACAGCTGGCTGACCTTGACCCTCACACCTGCTGTTTTCATTGCCATGAGAGTTCTTAAATTAACTGGACCGGTCATTGAACTAACTACAATTTCACATGTAAGTTTAGAATAGCATGCTACCTAAGAAACGAAATACTGTGCTTAAAAGACAGCCTCCAGCATGCTTAAGAGCTGAAAACAAACAGCTCAAATTGATTATCCTTGATTAAGAAAGGTTTCAACTGTGCAACAGAGTTGGGTCTGGAACTGAACTAGCAGGCGTTGCGAACAACAGTGAAACTAGGCCCTAAGACACAGGCAGGAAATAATTCGTTTTCAGACTGCAAACAGGAGGCGCGTCTTTACACAAAGGGTGGCGGGAGTCTGGAACAAGACGCCCAGCCCTGTTGCTAAAGTTGCCCACTATGAGTCCCTTCAAGGAACAGGTGAGGAAAATGCTTAAATGTATAACCTAGGAGAAAATAAATGACCAACACGGGCTGAAAGGCCCCCCTCTCATTTCTACCCTTTCTTAGGTCTTATAAACCAAAGGCTATTCCACTGAGCGACTCGACTAACGAACACGAGTCAGCGCACGTGCTGGGGAAGCTGCTGATGGGCACAGTCTGAACAGGTGAGTCTTGAGGAAGAGTTTGAGCTTACAGAGAAATAACTCTGTAGAATTAAAATGTTACAATTTGCTTCCAGGCTCTAGTAATGACGGTAGTAGTTCAGGTGAGGAGCTGCGTCAGCATGCGTAGGCTGCAAAGGAACAAGTAAAGGTTTATTCCATGCTGAAAAAAGAAGCTCACACCTGAAGAAGGCTCCACGGCCGAAACGTTGTGTTCTCTTTCTTCTTTTTTTTTCCAGCATGGAATAAACCTATTACTTGTTCCTCTAGTAATGATGTGCACACTTGAAATAATTCAGGAAACTAGGAGCCTGTTTTTCTGTTTGGCAGTATTAAAAGAATTTGTGTGACTTTCCGACAGGATGGAGTCCAGTACTTTACTAAAATAACAATGCGCAACATCTCGGAAGTGTCTTACTGACTTGTGTCATACTAAGTGACAGATCAAAGCAAGCACAGTGTGTTATATATCAACACTTCTAAAATAAAAGGCCTTTCACAACCTTTCCCATATTTAATTTAGTGAAATATATGTTATAATGGGAGGTGAAACTGATTCATATATAAAGTGAGGTCGTTTTGGATTTAAAGTGGCTATACTGTATAAATTCCAGGAATTATTAAAACGTTCGCCCTCTATTCATCTATTTTTCAACACTATTAGAGTAACTGGATAGGACAGCGTTCTCTCTCCTTATCAGTTCAGTTTCAGTTTACACAGGTTTTCTGCTCTGGGGAATATGTACACACACCACACAAGAGGCAGGCAGAAGGCAGGTTCAGTAAACATGTGCCTCACGGAGATTATGGACGTGCAATGCTTTAAAGTTCCGTCAGGGGGCAGTATAGTACCACTGTTGGCGCTGGAGGTGGCGAGAGAAAGGCGATTTGTGTTGGAAGGGAATTTAGCCCCCCCCCCCAGGCCTCCCGCCCGTTGCTTGATGGGATAGGCCCCGCCTCTAGAAAAAGGACGGATATGAACGTATCCTGAAGATCAATGATCACGGGTTTCAGTGCAAAAAACAAAACAAAGAGATTTTCAACTATAAGCTTCAGAGCAAGCCCCTCTTTTCCAAAACAAAACCCCCTTGCGTTGTCATCAAATCTCTATGTGGTCAAACAAGTTGTTACCTTGTAGGCTATTTTATCACCTAGTAATTCCCGTAAGAAAATGCAGTATTCAAAATTGGTGGCCCCCAAGCAGGCTTGAAAAATGCCTGTAATGAAGATGGTTATATCGGCGTTAACATCTCTTTTATGTGTCTGTTAAGCACTTAGCCCTCCTGAACACCCACAGAGGCGAGGAGAGGGAGCCAGACGCTCGTTTGGATGGCTCAGGGGTGATTCCCAACGTGTGCAAAGGGGAATTTCTCCAGGAATCACAGCGCCGGGCCGGGGGGGTGAGGGGCCGATGTTCTTCACCTTTACTTTAATTTAAATTCACACTCTCCCCCCGGCGGGTGGGCCTTTGTCTTCCCTCCAGGAGAGCGGAGGCTGCAGACCGCCTGGGAGGGCGGAGGGGGGGGGTGGGGGCCCTTTGTCTCCCCGGTGATCAGCAATCAAGCCGGGGGCGACCAAAGCCGCCCCCCCTGGTGTCGTCAGGAAGGACGGAGCTCGGCGGCGGCCTGCAGGGCATGCGCACTTGATCACAAAGGCCAGGCGAAAGGCCAGGCGCCCGGGCCTGAGAATGGCTTCTGCCCTGGGGCCGTGCGCATCACGAACAGCCAGGGAACGAGTCCAGGCTTAGTCCAAGCTGAGAAGAAAAGGGAAGCTGACACCCGCAGGAGGTTCCCCAGCCCAGTCGTTGGTTCTCTTTTCTTTCAGCCTGGAATAAACCTTTACTGGTGCCCCTGCAGCCTGAGCACGCTGGTGCAGCTCCCTGCTTGAGCTTCATAAGCAGCTCACTGGGCAGTGCCTCAGAAATGCGCCTTTTGACTTTCCACCACCTAATGATTGCTCTGTTTGTTTGGTATCTGTACTGCAGGGCCGAGCTGTGGCACTGCGGCTAAGGATCTGTGGCTGGAAGGTTGCTGGTTCAAATCTCGCGGCTGGCAGAGGAATCCTACTCTGTTGGGCCCCTGAGCAAGGCCCTTCACCCCAGCTGCTCCAGGGGCGCCGTATAAATGTCTGACCCTGTGCTCTGACCCCCAGCTTCTCTCCCCGTCTGTGTGTCTCATGGAGAGCAAGCTGGGGTCTGCGAAAAGACAAATTCCTACTGCAAGAAATTGTATAGGGCCAATAAAGAACTAAAGTGATCTTGCGTGCTGTCGCTGTCCATTATCGGCTGGTGTGCAGTGTGCTGTCCTGCACTGTGTGGTGATGCCTGCGGGACTGCGCACTTCCCGAGAGAACAGTGCGAGTAAGATTCGCATTGTTTCTCTGTCCGAGCCTGCGCTAGGCCAGCTCCTGCGATCAGCTCGCAGACACTGAAGAGATTCAACTGAACTCTGGTCATGCCAGGGATCAGCCTTCTGTTTCTGGATTGTGGCGCGATTCCCAGCGGCCTCTTCCGGAGGCATCATCCACCCTGCCATTTTCCAGCTCGGGGTTGAGTTGGGGGAGAGCTGGAGCCTGTCCCAGCAAGCAACGGGCACAAGGCAGGGTACGCCCTGGACAGGACGCCAGTCCATCACGGGACGCCACCACAGACACACACAGCCCCTCACGCCAGGGCCAGTTTACCCAGAAGCCAGTTTAGTCACCAGCCTGTTTTTGGCCTGTGGGAGGAAACCCACATGAACATGGGGGGACCATGCAAACTCCACGCAGACAGCACCCCTATCTATAATAAAACCCGGGGCCCCAGTGCTGCAAATCTATCCACTGCGGCACCCTTGCGTTGTACAATTTTGCTGATGGGCGCAGTCTGAACGGGTGAGTCTTGAGGAAGAGTTTGAGCTTACAGAGAAATAACTCTGTAGAATTAAAACGTTACAATTTGCTTCCAGGCTCTAGTAATGACGTGCACACTTGAAATCATTCAGGAAACTAGGAGCCTGCTTTTCTGTTTGGCAGTATTAAAAGAATTTGTATGACTTTCCGACAGGATGGACACCAGTACTTTGTCATTTGTCATTTCCCTGCGCCCCGGCTCTACACATCAAAGCACAGCACACTTCCCAGATTCTCCAGAGGCCCAGCTCCAGGAGTCAAGCAGATTATCTAGGACCCTGGACAAGCCGTCGGGTTGTTTCACTGATTAATAACCTTAGTAACAACCAGCACTAGAGACCGACCAAAGGATCTCATCTGATTTCTGATCGTATGTGCTGGCCAGGCAATAAAAGTGTGAACTATGAAAATAAAAATAGGTGGATTGGTTAGACATTGATGTGGGACAATTAGTACCGGAGACACACCGGACAATGGGCACGTTATTCACCAGAGTTTACAGGACAACACATCGGTTAATACTATTGCAAACTCCGGGTCCTCATCCTTTGCCATAACAAACTTCAATATCGTGTCATGTCGCGGTTTCAAAAACAAACAATCTCGGTGTTTTTTAAGTTCGGACGTATTTTGAAGAAAAAAAAAAGACCTCAATTTGAATGTATTCGGAGTCGGAAATTTCGAAACGACACAAAGCATATAAATGGCAGATTTCGAAAATATACCGATACTTAACTTTAAATATTTGACGAATAAAGTTGGGGGTGTTTCCCACGTTGCAGTGATTCCCAGATGTGTGCAAAAATCTGAGATTAAATAAAGCGTTTTGTCTACGTTCACGGGGTTTCGAAAACAAAACTGCAGGCACTCTGTTGTGGGAAGTATCCGAGAGCAAAGGCTTTGCCAGGAATTAAAGGGTTTAAAGTTAAGGATTTATTTTGTTTCGTCAAAACGCTTTTATTTTCTTGAAGAACGCGGGAAAAAATGTATTTTGTACTGTATTTGCAATCAGGTTAAGCAGGTTTTGAAAAGAAGAAAAGGCTGTCGGACCACGTTGCGTGTGTAGGCCTGAGCAGAGAGGGGGATGGGATTTTTAGTTTCAGGAAAGTCGAACAGTTGGCAGGCAGGGCGCATGTTTAGGAGCCGTGATAAAAGAGTGTCACTCAATCTCAAATGATGAATATTCACACCGTTACTGTGGTGACGGCACAAGACACCTCCCCTTCCTAATTATTCATAAGCGAAATCCCCACCCACCGGTCGCTCTTTGACCAGGAATTACGAATAGCCGGGCAGTTGCCACGGCAACACACGGTAGACACACCCTTCTGATTAATTATTGATAAGTAGGCGTGTCGCCCTCCTGTCATATAAAGGAGCCATTTGGCGCCTCTGGAGTCAAACTAGCGCGAAGAAGCTTCTGGTCCTGTCCTCTTGGTGCTGCGTAGACCAACAAAAGGTAATTACTTTTAGAGTTTATAGATGTTGGGTTCCCCGTGTGGAGGAAAATCGTTTAAGGTGGGGACAGTAGTCATAAACATTTTGGGGATTTATAGTGAATATCTGTTTTAATGGCTTTGGTTTTAATCGGTACTTAGGCCCAGTTTACTATTGGCTTAAAAAAAAAAGGTCCGCGTTACTTCCTTTACTGTTAAAAGACGCAGTCATTCCCAGTTGGTGGCGAAGGGGGGGGAGGTGGGAAAAAAAGACTACGTGTCTCCGATTAAAATGGCCGCCAGCGGGTGGGAATGAGCGAGGGTTTTTTGTTCGACGTTTGATCTCTCGGCGGTTCAAACCGGTTGTGGTCCCGTCTTTTAAAACGACGGAAAGGGCCTCGTCGTCGTCCCTAGTAGCTTATGAAGCGCACTTCCCCGCAGGCCTTTGTTCTGATTGTGGGCCTGTGTGGAAACTTTAAAACGCTCCCGTTGCCGACTCGGTCGCCCTGTGTATGTATATATTTATTTCTTTAATGTGCTGCGAGTGTCCTAACCGGGTGCGCGAGCGGGTGTTGGCGTTTTAAAGATGGCGGCGGAGCGCGCGCGGTGGGGAAAATGGCGCCCTAAGATGGCGCTGCCGCCGGGGACACGTTGACGCGCAGCACCGCTTGGCTCCTCTCTAGTCGTGTTATACCCTCGCCAATCCCCTGGCTTGGGTTTGAGCACACTTAAACCAGTTTTTTTTCTATCTAGTGAAGGTTTTAGGAAACTTTTTTTTTTAAAAAAAAGTTAGCTCCGGGCTTAGGAGCGAGTATCTACAGCTCGGCGACGCAGTTAACCTATTTCTCTGTCCTCCACCTTCAGAATATTCAAAATGTCTGATGAGGGCAAGCTTTTCGTCGGAGGTCTGAGCTTTGATACCAACGAGCAGTCGTTGGAAGATGTCTTCTCCAAGTACGGGACCGTGTCCGAAGGTGAGTCCTCCCTTTCATGCTGAACCGTACGGTAGGGGGAGTCCTTCCACCACGGGGCTCTCTGTGTCTCGAGGGCTGAGGGGCTGACTCGTGCTTTCTCCTCTGCAGTGGTGGTGATCAAAGACCGGGAAACACAGAGGTCCAGGGGCTTCGGCTTCGTGACGTTTGAGAACCCAGATGACGCCAAAGACGCGATGATGGCCATGAATGGCAAGGTAAGAGGAGCTGGCAATCTTGAAATAGCCTTTTTTCCTTAGGCCTACTTGTCATGTGTGCAACTTTTTTTGTGGCAAAGCTAACTGAAACTGTTCTGCCTTGCAGTCTGTGGATGGGAGGATGATCCGTGTGGATGAAGCTGGCAAGTCCTCGGGGAGGTCCGGCGGCTACAGGGGAGGCTCCTCTGGGGGAAGGGGATTCTTCCGTGGGGGCAGAGGAAGAGGTGGGTGTTGTTACTCGCAAGGTAAGGGCTGGCCGCATGGCAAGAGCGAGTTTGCCTCCTCTTGGTCTGATGTCACGCCCTCCTTCGGTTAGTCGCCCGTGGGTCTCTGGGGTCTGGCTCTGAGTGGTCGTGCTGAACTTGTCCCCCCCACCCCCCGTGCAGGAAGCTATGGTGGCGACAGGAGCTATGGAGGTGACCGCAGCTACGGAAGTGGAGACAGGAGTTACAGTGGTGGATACAACAGGAGTAGTAGTGGTGGCGGCGGTGGCGGCTACTCCTCGGGCGGATACTACAACCGGGACAGCAGGTCAGTCTGCATGCTGGAGTCGGTTTATAGTCCTCGTTTCTTAGTGGATGTGTGAGTGATGTGTACTGCTTGGTGCGATACTAATTTTGTCCGTTTCTTCCAGGGGGCAGGGAAGCTATGGTGACCGCTCTGGGGGCTCCTACAGGGATGGCTACGACAGCTATGGTATGTATGGATTGTAAAGGGAGGAAAGCGGGGAGGGGGGGGTCGCCTTTTAATACAAGGTCATTAAAATCGGCATCAGTTGACCTCAGTCCATTTATAGCCTTTTTTGCTCTTTTCAGTCAGACTCATTTTCTGAGCTGTGCAAATGCACGATTCTGATCATTCTAACTAGTAATGGGTGCATATTCAGAAAACCATTTCCCTGAGCTATGGTAGTTGTGCTGTGCTGTTCACCTTGACTTTTCCAAGTAAAACCCAAAATTAGCTGCAGTTCCTAAAGTGCTTTCCCAACTTTAAAAGGGTTTAAAAAGGGGTAGTTGTATGAGAAATGTTCTGTGCCTCGGATGCTTCAGTGCCTTTACATCTGTGCCTACTTCTTGTCCTCAGCTACACACGAGTAAAAAACCGCCCTGATTCAAGATCATCACTTCGCTGGCTGTATTTATAAAGATGCGCTCTTCGAAGAACCTTTTTTTTTATATTTTGTTCTAGTACTTTCTGTAATCTGATTTTGACCTTGTTCTGTCACTCTGACAACATCACTACAAGCTTAAGTAGTTACTGATGTTGTTGGACGATGTGCTGTTCTGAAATGTGAGGAAGTTTGTATGATTTTTTTTTTAATTAAGCGCTTTTGATTTCTATAAAACTGTCAAAGCTGTGATTTAAGGCCATTAGGTTCAGTAATGCATTCACTTCAGGTGACGCTAAAGGAATGCATTGAGACCTGTTCAAATTCAATATTTTAACTACTGTATACATTTCACGGCTGTTGTACGTAACAGTTGTGATTTAATTTATCCTGATCAACAGCCTGGTAGCTTCTTAAGTTGATCCTTTATGAATATTAACAGAGTATTGGAATGCTATACAGGTTGACTTTTAATATTTAGCTTGCCATGCTGTGGTAAATACTCGAGGCTTTCTGTGCCTTGGGTTGCACTCAAGTAGATAATGTATTAAAGTTGGACTATTCCCAAGTTGACCACCTTGGTATGGCTAAGGAGCTGGATGCAGTATCCAGAGTAAATTGCTCTGGGTCCTGATCATCATATTAGATACTTAACCTAAAGAGCTAATTATTCCTTTTGAGGGTTTATTTTACTCTAGGTTTTTGTATTTGATTCTGGTGTTTTGGACTTGGTACTCATGATACGATACTCAAATGTTGAAACCAGTATTGTCTCTCTCCCACTGAGAAATTGTGCTTTGTTCTCTGTACAAAAGAAACTGAAGACGCTTATTTTGTAAACTTTTGGCTTCATGAAGCCTATTAAACGAAATGGTGGAAAATGCTCTGAATTTCTTGTGCCTCCAAAGATCACCACACCTGTATAAAATCATCTGAAGATGTCTGGAATCTGTTCAGAGAGGATAGTAGTGGGTGGGGGGAGGGTGGCTTCAGTGGTCATATTTAGGCCAGGGCTCATGGGACATAACCGAAGGAAGTACAAATGCCTTGGAACTACACTAAAAGGATAATGAGGGGTGGTTCATTCATTAAATAAAACTATTCAGGGTTTAGTTAGAACTCTGCTTGTGAAGGTAACTGCAGATGGTGATATCTCCTAAATGTTACATTAAGGAGCCTTTTAAATGGTTCTGGTAGTTTTAGTTAGAATTGGTTGTTGTAATGCTTCAATACGTCTCAAGAGCTCACCGCTAATGTTCAGAAAACCAAGTCCTTGGAGAATGTGGCTACCATCATGTGAATCTTCTGAGATGAAAGCTGCTCTTGACTAGTTCACATGTGGAGATAGGCCTGTAATTTGAGGTAACTCCTTTTGCTCTCCTGTTCGCATCCTTTCAACAGTTCTTTCTGTTTTTAGAACAGACTTGTTCTGCTTTTCAAAAGATTTAATGCTGCATGATAAGTCCCATGCCTAGTTACGATCCGATTTGAACTGGTGACATTTTGAAGATTACCTCCATATGTTGGCTTCCTCATCCTCAAGGATCCCAAAGCCTGAGCTGGGAATGTCATGTTATAGTTAAAACACCATCTGGATCTTAATCGATTAAACGAAGATGCTTATGACATTGATATTCAGAAGCTTTTCTAAGCACTCTGGAAAGTGGACAGTTAATTGTACCATGTAGTCTAGCTCTAGTTATAAACCCAGGTTGAGACAACATGCATTGTTCTTGTTAAATGGATTCATTTTTACAAGCCTCAAGTTAAACAGGTCTTCATGATTAGAGCTGAGGCTTGCCGTTATCCAAACACCTGGGACTTCAAACCGGTTTTAGAGACCGGTGCCATATGTTGTCTCTTGGGAAGGAAATAAGAATTTGACCCAATTAGCAGTGCATGATTACAGGACACTTGGTAATATTTGAGTACTTGGATGTTTGTGGGGAAAAATCTTGTCCACTGATATTTTTTTCTTTCTCTTGTGATCTAGGGTGAGCACTTGGCAAGTGGATGGAAGTTGATATGAAGGCTGTTTGCTACATGGTGGCGTGCTGTAAAAGAAACATCCGTATCACTCATGTAAGTGTCACATGAGTCAAGGAACCCTGGAGTGTACAATTTGGGTAATTGGAGTAAAATAGCAACTCAAATGGAAGAAACTATTACAGTCCCTAGTTTCAAGGTGAATATTTGGGGTTTCTTGCTTGGTGAGTTTAGTGCTGCAAGTCTTTAATACTGTAGTCTGTACAGATGTGTGTTAAAGGGGAACCATAACACTATTTCGGTTGTAGAATTCTCATTTCAAACCACAATGAAAGTTAAATGTACACAGTAATTTGTAGAACCTTCAATTTACATCACAAAATGGACAAAATTTCCAGGTGTGCGCAGCACCATATTCTGCGATAACAGGGCAACAAAACATCCCGCGACGCGTTGCAGCCTTAATAGTGTGAGCAACCAAGCTTGTGAATTAATCTGTTAATCTGATAGAAATAATTACTCTGGACTTGGAGGCAGTTCTGCCAAAAATTACTAATTGCAAACTACATGTGGATCATGTTGGACACTTTCTGCAGATGAATCTGCTGCACAACCTGTACTTATTTGCTAGTAAATATTTACAGTGACTAGTGAGCACGAAGGGCAGCTTCACCTTGCACTTTGAGGGACTTCTCGTTCTCAACTGGCCAGAGCAGGCGTTTGTGACAACGTGGTAACTTGTAGTACTTCAAGATCATGATTTTGTTTAAATTGGGAATAAAATTTTGCTACACGTTTCTTAATGAGATTTAATAGCCATTCTGAGAAATTGGGACTGCAGTTTCCCTTTAAGTGCACCAGGGAAGATGCCACCTTTGTGAGTTTTATTCATGTTTTTAAATGTGTTTCGATAGGCAGCTGATCCCCGATGAGATAATGTTGGTAATGTTGAGGTTCCATGTTTGCAGGATGCTGTGTTCCCGAGAGCTGAACGCATCAGTAGAGGACGTGTGATGGGCAAGATGAGGGAGTATGGGCTCCCACAGCGGTCTGGAACAGGCTGGAGTGTGTTAACGGGGAGACGGTCGCTGTGGTGTTAGAGGGCTCCTTATTGACATCCCAAAACCTGTTCTGTATCAGTACACAGTGTGGAAAAGCAATAAAAGGTTTGAAGTGATTTCTCTTGATGTTCTTTTAATTTCTTTCCATTTGAAGGAGTTTACTTCATCACACAGATAAGAAGAAAAGTTATGAAGATGGTGGTTGGAAGATTTAAAAGCAGATGAATTTTTTACCTACCCAACACTGCTAGGGGGGTACACACAACACAAATGCCCTGGTGTTATAATTCACTTGATAATGCAAGAGTACTTTTTGTGAAAGATTAAGCAATATGCATCAGGCTGAATAAACAACGCCTGGCAAATGTGAAAAGGCATCTCTGTGCTTCTGCAAAAGTTTTGAATAGCAGGCATCCTGGCTTGATTTAGTTTGCTTGCTTCCTTGGGATTTTATTTTACACAACAGTCCCTGAAGTCTTTTCTAGCACTTTAATGCTAACAAAATACAGACTTGATCTGGTTGGGTTGTTGAATTTCGTTAATGAGGCAGAATACATTAGATTTTAGCTTGTTTGGAGTGAATCTCGTTTGTAACTTGGGTGAGTACGTTTGGGTGAAGGAATATGCAGCTACTAGGAATAAACTGAGGGAAGGAAAGACGCTACATGGGGTGATTGTTTAATTACAAAAGCCCCAGCATTTATACAAGCATTTAAGATGAAGCATACAATTCCACATTTTGATTAGTTTCCCGGATTCAAGACTTGCATTGACAAGTGCTGAAATAAGATTCATCTTTTAACCGAAATAAAACGAAGGTTTTTGTGCTTTTGGTCGAGCGAGCGGTCTCCTGGTGATGGTGACGTCAGCAGGCTCTTGTCAGCCTAATTAATTATTCATTAGTGTGGGCGTGTCCAACTTTATAAAAGCGCCGGTTTTGCCGCAGTCCTGGTCATAGCTGACTAGAATTTGCGGTACGTGAGATTTCGCTAACTGTCAGGTTGACAAAAAGGTAAGAAAAAACCATTAATGGAAGATTTATGCTCTTTCAAATCTTTGAAATTTTATTTAATATTTTTTTGGGGGGGAACGGTGCGTATGTAGTTGGCCGCATATTTATATAGCGTAACTTACATATCGGTTATATGTAAGTATCGGTTATGTGCATCTTTGTTTTACTGCCTGTTCGGGTTAAGGGATTAAAAATGTATTCACATCCAAAACGTTAGGATTTTTCTTGTTTTCTGCATAAAAATGGGCGTGGTCCAATACGTGTGTGTGCTGACCGATATTGTGCAGTACACACTCGAACCAGGGGGAAACGAGAAGAAATTCGGTTAGGAATTCCTCGTTTGAAGTTCATTTGAATCTAAACGGACGTTTTTCGGCTGTCGCGACAAGTTACGAGAGCGTTTTTTAAAACGAACTCGCGCCGCGATGGAAGAGTCCGTTTTTTTTTTTTACCGAAAACGTATATAAATATAAAAAAAAACCCCGAGGGAGTGTGCGCCGTATTGTAGAGGGCAACAGGAGCTGTATTTTTTTTTATAGCTCCGCTTTGTCCCTGGTCTAGTTGCACCGCAAAACGATGTAAATGTCAGTTAACAGCAGAAAACAGAACCGAAGCTGAGGGAATAGAGTTTGAGAGAGAGAGAAAATCGACCAAATAAACGCCCGTCTTCTGTGTAGCTGCAGCTGGGTCTTTGTTCAAAATGGCTCCTCCGCACCGGGGGTGGGGCGGTGATGGAGATAGTCCCTGCGCAGTGTCGACTGCCCGTCGAAGAGCGACGTTTCTTGTGATTTCAAGAGGCCGATGAGAACATCGCCACCTCGCCCACGGACAAAAAAAAAATCCCAGATCCCTCACGGATGTGCCAGATGAAGTTTTCCGATGGAAAGCTGTGTGTGTGTGGGGGGGGGTGGAAATGCCTTCGATTCGGTCGGTTGCGCTTTGTTCAAAATGGCGTCTTCCGCAGTGCGCGCGAGCCGGGGTGGGCGGGGCGGGGCGGGGCTGACCCACTTCTGCGCGGTTGGTCGCCGCGCGGGTTGCGTCAGAGGGGGTCGATGACGCAGCTGCCCTTCTGTGGGGCGATGGCCTCCGGATTTAGGATGGCTCTTCAGTCCTTCAAAATGGCGTCTGGGCGTGTTTTACGGAGGGGAGGGAGGGGATGGGTGCGCTGCGCTGCTGCACGTCTGTGCAGTTTTAAGCAAACGTATATATGCAACGCTGGAGTGCATTGAATACGACAATAAAAAGGCGGGGCTTTGCTTGGTCGAGCGGTCTTGTATACAAATAAATTATCTGCGCGTTTATTACGGTACGCACAAGGCGTGGACCTGATCTATTTATGGGGATCGGTTTATTTTTTTTCTTTCAGAAAATCTCCAAATATGTCTGACGAAGGCAAGCTTTTTGTTGGTGGACTGAGCTTCGACACCAATGAGCAGTCCCTGGAAGAGGTGTTCTCGAAGTACGGAAATGTTTCAGAAGGTAAGCTCGACCTGTTTCTAGTGCGATTGAAGTGTTGCACTAATCGGTGTGACACAGAGCTGCCAGGGGCTCAAGACTCTTTGTTTCTTTTCCTCTTTTGCCCCCAGTCGTGGTGGTCAAGGACAGAGAAACACAGAGGTCGCGGGGGTTCGGCTTCATCACGTTTGAAAACCCCGAGGATGCCAAGGACGCCATGATCGCCATGAACAGCAAGGTGGGGGCTCGTGCCGTCTGCGCCCGGGCAGCGCCAGCTGCTCCGGCTTTGCTCCCTACACCTCTGAGGCTCCTGTGTTGACCTGCCAGTGTTTCTCCCTCCAGTCCATCGATGGCCGGGTGATCCGCGTCGACCAGGCGGGCAAGTCCTCGGGAGGGAGGTCCGGCGGCTACAGGGGCGGCTCCTCCGGGGGGAGGGGAGGATTCTTCCGCGGGGGCAGAGGAAGAGGTGGGCGTGGTTACTCGCAAGGTAAGGGCTGGCCGCATGGCAAGAGCGAGTTTGCCTCCTCTTGGTCTGATGTCACGCCCTCCTTCGGTTAGTCGCCCGTGGGT